CCTGCCAGTGTGGCTCAGTGGGTTGAATGTCATCCCCTGGACTGAGAGGTCTCGGTTTGACTCCAGGTCAGAGCACATGCTTGGATTGTGGGCTTGATTCCCAGCAGGGGATGTGCAGGAGGCAGCTGATGTTTCTCCCTCACATCAATGTTTCTATCTTTTCCCCTCTCTCTAAAAAATCAATAAAAACACATTGAGAGAGAGAGAGAGAGAGAGAGAGAGAGAGAGAGAGAGAGAGAGAACTCCACACTGCATAGTAATTCCTCCTAGGGTTTTACCTGTTTTATTTTCAAAACCAGACCAACGAGCTTTCTGAACAGCTGGTGTAGAAACCAGCTTCTTCAGACCGCAGTGCTTTGGCAGGGAGGAGGAAAACCCCTTCCTACTTGAACGTTTTCTAATTGCTTATTTATTGTATTCTGGGGTATGGCGTAAGTACAGAGAAGCCATCACCTCAGATGGCAGCTTTTAGAAGGCTTTTCCCCCCTCAGCACCGTGATTCCTTTGGTGTGTTTCCAGCCCTCCCAGGCAGGCCAAGGTGTTCTACAGAAAAACCTTGGTTAGACCTACAGGGGTTCTGGCTGGTGCGGAGAAAGCTGACGGGGCTGCTGTGGTGCAGAGAACCCCACTTGTTTACATGCTCATTCGGTGACTGCTTGCCCCAAGCAGAAAGTGCCTTTCAGGATCTAGTTTTGGAGATTTATTATGTATGTCTGGTTCTCAATTCCAACAGTTTAGAGAAGATCTAAATAAAATGCTAGGTTCTACCTTCAAAAAATAAAAGAATAAAGAGAACCAAGTGGGAGGACTCACACTTCCCAATCAAAACTTACTACAAGCCACAGTGATCAAAAGTGTGGGACTGGCGTGAGGGTAAACACAGATCAGTGGAATAGATCTGAGAGTCCAGAAATAAACCCATACATCTATAGTCAATTGATTTTTTTTTTTTTTTATCCTCACCCGAGGACATTTTTCCACTTTTTTGTTCAGGTAGAGTGGGAGAGAGAGAGAGGAACAGAAAGAGAGAGAGAAACATCGATGTGAAAGGGACACATCGAGTGGCTGCCACCCGCACAACCAACCAGGGCCGGGGACAAACTGCAACCGAGGTACGTGCCCTTAGCAGGGACCGAACCCGGGTCTCTCAGGACCACAGGCTGACTCTCTAACCGCTGAGCCAAACTGGCCAGGGCTAGTCAATTGATTTTTGACAAGGATGTAAATTCAGTGGAGGGAAAAAAGTCTTCTCAACAAATGGTGCTGGGACATCTGAATACCCACATGGAAAAGACTTATATCCCTCCCTCAAAAATAAAAATAAATCAAAATGGATCAACACCTAGAGTAAACTATACATCTTTGTGACCTTGGACTACATACACATTAGTTTCTTAAATATCCAAAGCACAAGCAGCAAAAGAAAATAGATACATTTGACTTCATCATAATTAAAAACTTTTGTGTATAAAGGACACTATAAATCAAGTGAATGGGAGAAAGTGTTTGCAAATCACATATATGATAAGGGTTTAAAATCCACAGTACACAAAGAACTATTACACTCAGCAATAAAAAGAGAAATATCCCAATTAAAAAGTGGGCAAAAGATTTGAGAAGACATTTCTCCAAAAAAGATATAGAAATGGCCAATAAGCACATGACAAGAATGTTCAACATTATTAGTCATTAGGAAAATGCAAGTCAGAACCACAATAAAATACTACCTTATGTCCACTAAAATGTCTATAATTTAAAAAGACATAATAAAAGGTGAGGAAGTGGAGAAGTTGGAACCCTGGTAGGATTATGAAATGGTATAGCCTCTTGGGAAAATAATTTGGCAGTTCCTTAAAAAGTTAAGCATATAGTTACTGTTCAGCTCCTAGGTATATATCTATGAGCCAAAAAATGTCCACACAATAACTTGTACACCTGTGTTCATAGCATCATTTATAATAACCCAAAGTAGAAATAACTCAAGTGTCTACCAACTGAGGAATAGGTAAACAAAACATGATCTATCTATATAATGGAATATTATTCAGCCATAAAAAGGAATGAAGTCCCAATACATGCTACAACATGAATGAACCTTAAAAACATGCTAAGTGAAATAAGTCAGTCATAAAAGTGCAGGTATGGTACGAGTCCACTTATTTGAGATGTCCAGAATAGGCAAATGCATAGAGATAGAAAGTAGATGAGTGGTTGCTAGAGGTCTGTCAGAGTGGGGAACAGATAGTGACTGGTGATGAGTACGAGGCTGCTTTTTGGGGTGATGAAAAAGTGGTGGTGGTGAGAGTGTACAGCTTTCCAAATATATTAACTGCCACTGAATTTTCTGCTTTAAAACAAACAAACAAACAAAAAAACAAGTCGGGAGGACTATGCGGTTGAGTGTTATTAGCAAGTGGAGCCAAACAGTGAGTGTAGAGTTACCAATGATGGAGCAGGATGTGAGTGCGACCCGAGGAAAAGGCGGCAGGTCACCTGTGGCTGGTACACATGAACAGAGCAGAATGTGTGGTCAGGTGTAATAGGAAGCCGGGAATTTGGTTTCAGGCATCTATGGTGAGTGTCGCCGAATGCCAACCTCAGTGTTAATAATGTAAAGGGCAGATCGTTAAGTTCTGTGCCGAGGGTGAACAGAGTGGCGTCTAGCGCCGATGGCAAATGCAGTGGAATGCTAATGTCTTTCACCGAAAGTTAACAGAATAGTCAATGTCGTGAAACACAAAAAACAGTGGGGAGACTGTTCCAGATGAGAGAGCAACCGTACGCAGTATTAATCTTTATTGGATTCTTGATGGGATCCCTCACCATGTCCATTGATGACATTTTTTTTTGGACAATTCAGAATTTTTAAAGGAACGGTTTTATATTAGATGAAAATTGTGGCCTTATTCCTAATTCAATAATGATTATTAAATTAATGTTAATTTTTTAGGGGTCCTCACATCATTGTCATCCTTATTCTTTATTGACATGATGTCTGCAGCTTTCAAATGCTTGAGCAAAAACTGCACCTGTCTACCTACTTACTTGCCCACCTACCTACAGAGATAAAGTAAATGAGGCTAAATGATAACAACTGGAATCCAGGTGAAGGGGGCTTTGGGTGTTCATTGTGTATTATTTCGTTTTTTCTGTATCAAAACAGAACATAGAGTGTGGCATGAACTGGGCACCACGCAGCATGTTGCTTTCAGCACAAGGGAGCAGAGCATGGTGTCGGGCAGCGGGGCAGAGCGGAATGTTGCATCCCGCGGTGAGTGGATAAGCAGCACGTGTCTCCAGGGACCGGGATGCAGGAGAAGGCTGAGCCTCGTGGGAAGAGAGCGCAGCAGAACAGGCGTCCAGCCTTCGCAGTGAAGGGGGCAGAGCGCTGGGTCGCAAGTCTGGGTGAACGAAGGAGTGTGTGGTATTTGGCATTAATAGTAAATGAAGCGAAACATTACGTCTGATGTTAAAAGTGAATTAAGCAGAATGTGAGGTCTAGTGTTAGCAAGAAAAGGAACACAAGGGTGCACTTACCGCGAGGGTGACCGGAGGACAGTTAGTGTCTGCTGTCAGTAAGGAGGGAAGTGGAATGCTGTGTCTGGCGTTGGAGGAATGGAACAGACCGCTGTGTCTAGCCCGGAATGAATGAAGCGGAATGTGAGGCTGGCGTTACCAGTGAACGGGGAGAAATGAGGTGTCTGGGTTAACAGAGAATGGAGCAGCATATGATTCAAGAGTTAACAGTGGACGTAATAGGATGTCGTGTTTAACATTAGAAATGTAAGAAACAGATTGAGGTATGTGCAGGAGAGGATTAATGTACCAGGCATGAGGCTGCTGTCTTATAAAGGACTTGCCTGCAAGGCTGGCCCTTGGATGACACCTGGGAACTGGGGTTTGGGGTGTTCCCACTTTCTCAGCTGATAAGAGTGCCGAGACTGCTTGTACCAACAATGCGGTCTGTGCGGAACGTCTGCTTTTCTTCTGGGAGTCTGGAAGTTCGGTATGTGCTAGGCACCCAGCACCCAGTGAAAACCTTTGATACTGAACCGTAAATGAATCTCAAAACCATTTGTCTTTCTGTCTCTCTGGGCAGGAACATCTCTCGCGCGTGCTGCCTGTTGCTGCTGGGGTAAGAGGGCGCCCCGTGTGGTCCCTCATGGGCGGGAGGGAGAGGGCCAGGAAGCCTGGCCATGGGCTCCTCCTGACCCTGCGTGGGTCTCCTCCCTTGTCATCCAGCTGTGCGTCCTGAGTACAGCACTGTGAGAAGGCTCAGCCTCGAGTACGACCGTATGCTGGTCTTTGGGTCCTCACAAGTCTCCGAGCACGGGGGCTGCCTTGGAGACCCCCAACACAAAGTCTCTGCCATTAATGGTGAAAGGAGTGGAATGTTGTACTCAGCACTAAAAGTAAGTGTTGGGCCCTGGCTGGATTGGCTCAGTGGTTTGAGGGTCGGCCTGCAGACCAGAGAGTCCCGGGTTCGGTTCCCGCTAAGGGCACGTACCTTGGCTGCAGTTTGTCCACAGCCCGGTTGGGGTCGTGTGGGTGGCAACTACTCGGTGTGTCTCACTTCGATGTTTCTCTCTCTCTCTCTTCCTCCCTCTCTCCTTCCTGCTCTCTCGGAAGATAAATGCAAAAATGTCCTCGGATGAGGATAACAACGACAACAACAAACAAACAAACAAAAAAATTAAAAGTGAGTGGAAGAGTTGAGTGTTAATAGTGAACGAAGCAGAATAATGTCTAATTTTGGTAGAGAATTGAGCAAAATGTTTCTGATGACTGTATTGAACATAGCGTTTTTCTTTCTTGTCTTTGTATTGAACACAATGTTAAATCTGGAGGAGAGGTTTGGTGGATCTGAATGCTGGACCCTACCAAGTGTGGTAGATGAAGAAATAGTGGCTAATTCCTCAGGCTGTCCTTGTCTCAGGCAGGGAAGGGAGCTGTGTGTCCTGTCTGTCCAGGTGTTCTGTGCTCATGGCGGTGGGACTGACCTTGGGCAGGGATGCTCGGGAGCCGGAGCTCTGGGTGGTCATGGTGAGCACGGTGGTGATGCCCAGGCCCACACGGGCTGGCGCAGCATCCATGTTGATCCAGAAGGAGATCCAGGAGAGGATGACAATGAGCAGGCTGGGGATGTACATCTGGATCAGGTAGTAGCCCATCTGTCGCTCCAGGTGGAACCGGGCCTCAATGCAGGTGAATTTACCTGCAGGAAATTATAGTGAGAAGGAAAAGTAGCCTAGCGGTTGGGAACAAGACTTTGAGGTCTGAACATTCTTGTCTGTGGAGAATTGGGGATAATGATGATGATGATGAAGATGATGATGATGATGATGATAATAATAATAATAATACCTACCTCACAGGTTTACTCATATGGTAACAGTGATGAGGGAATGAGATGGTGCCTATCAAGAACTTAGCACAGTCCTCACACATCTTTAGTGCCCAGGAATGTCAGTTGTCATCATCCTCATCCTCACTATTTTGTTGCAAAGACTGGGCCTAAGTGGACCATTCTCTCCTTCTGCCAGTTTTCTTCCCAAAACATGACTTGATCCTGTTACTTCCCTTTGTAAAACCTTTCTTTCCTTCCTTCTCTCCTCATACAAGAAGGTCCCCATTACCTGCAGGGAAAGTTCAAACTCTTTAGTCTGCCCTTCACATGGGACTCTGCCTGTTTTTCCACCCCCTTTCCCTTCTTTCTTCACCTCAGTTGGGACCAGACCGCCTACACGCCACCCCTTGCCTTGAGCATGATTTCACACTTGGTCCTGCTCACCCCTCTGCCAGGGAATACCCTTATTCCCCCTCTCAGCCAGCCCGCGGACTCCTGCTCCTCCTGGCATGAAGTCTCCCAGAAGAATGCCTCTTTCTTCCCTGTGTTCCTTCAGCCCCGAGCCAGAGAGCTGAGCTAAACAGTGGTGGATCCCCACGCCCCCCTCGTAGCTGGCAGTGTAGTAGACCCGCTCCGACCTCACTCCACTGGTCTTCAGCTTCCTCGTGTGCAGGTCTGCCGGGAGCCCTCTCTGTGCCTCGGCCCTGTCGGAAAAGCCACTCCCTCTGGGACCGAGACAGCAGGATGGCCTCCCCTATCAGCTCTTCCTTCTGCTTTAGGGATCGGGTCCACTTTGAATTAGGTACCCTGCTTCCTGGAATGAAGACTGTCTCCCAGCTTTCTTTGTAATGCGGAGGGGACTCAGCCTAAGTTACTTGCCCCAGGACTCACAAGAAGAAAGTGTCAGAGCCACTGTTTGGTTTCAAAGGATATTCTCCTAACCGCTAGTAATAAACAGAGAGCTATGTCCATCATGAGTACCCCACGAGATCTGTTGAGGCAATGATTGAATGAATGTGGGAAATGATCTCTGGCCCTGGTTGAGGGAGGGATCTGCGGCGGGTGGCCCGCACACCTACCTGTGTTGTAATGCTTGGTGCAGTATCTCAAGTCCTTCTCCTCCTTCAGGATAAACTGGGGCAGAGTTAGTCCATCTGCCACCTGCACAGCTCCCTGCTCCTGCCACTCAAAGATGAGGTCATTCATGGTATATCCAACTGGGACGGGATCAGAAGAAGGAGCAGTCACCACCCACAAGCACTTATTAGAGGCTTGTCAGGGTTGGTTAGGGTTAGAGACAGAGAGGCATCGGACGCTCCATGAAACGCCTGAAACCATGCTGCTCCCCCGCCCCTCACGGGAGGTTAAAACCGGTGTAATTGTTTACATTTGCCCCACAGCCCTTCTCCCTCTCTTGTTCCCCTCCCAGCATCCGACCTTAGCTTGTCCTGTTGCCCCTTCCCCTTACCTCCACGGTCAAGTTCAGTTGGCACCTGCTCTTTGTGCCTGTACCCCATCCTGGCAAGCTCCCTCGTCTGCTTACTGCAGACCTTCCTTGGGGGAATGGTATGCTTTTGTGGTGGGACTATCATTTGGGGGTCAAAGTGCGCGATGGTGGCTCAACTAGACCAGTCAGACCCTCTTCCCCGGAACTTTGACTCCTGAGTGGAGTTGCAGAGTGTTCAGGGTTGGCTGGTGCTGATTCCCTTCGGAGGTGGTGCTCCAAGGGGATGCCCTACTGGCTCCTGCTGCCCAAACGCTCGGCCCCGATTTCTGCACTTTGGGTTTCTCCTACAAGTCCACGAGAAACCTCCATCTAATTACATGTTTTAAATTCGTCCGATTGCACTCTGGGTTTACAGCCAAAGAATGCAGCTCCCTCTCCTGTCTGTTAAAATCCTGGTTCGGTTGCTCTCCACACAGCCTTCTCCAGTACTGTCTCTCCTTCCCCATCAGAAGGAAGCCCGCTTTCTGCCAAGGGGCCCCCACGCTCTCCATGTCAGACAGAACACTCACCGCTGGCTGCCCTGCCTTAGCCAGCCGCCTCTCTCCCCTGCTGGAGTTCAAGGACCCTGACTCAGCCAGCTCTTTCCCCTTGGTTCCTGGAGAGCATGTCAGGAGGGACATGGAGCAGTGCCCCTGTGGGGGGCGCTCCTGGCTCCAGCGCTGGGCCGCAGGCGGACGGGGGAGGCAGTTACACTTCCAATGCCTCTCCTAAGAGCCAAGCCCCTCATCTGGTCTTTTGCGCTGTTACAGTAATTTGGGCTCCAGCGCTCAGGAGAAGCTGCGTGGGGATGTCTGCCAGTCCTGCGGGGAAAGGGGACTTGAACCTGGGTCTTCTAGAGGACTCATTTAAGGGACTCACAGCTCTCCAGTTGCATGATACACGTCTGGACGTCCATGGGGAAATTCTTCAAGTCCATGGGGCAGGCCAGTGTCAGGGTGATTCTGGGAAGAGAAGGGAGTCAACTGTTTCTGGGTCCACAGACCAGGGAAGCCGTGCCTCCATTCTAGTCACTACCAGAAACCGGTTCACTAGGAGAGGTCGAGGGGTCAAGGAAGTCAGAGAACTCGTGTTTTTTTGGATCAACATATGTATAGTTCCACACTTCAGCTATGTAAACGGAGGCTCTGCAAGATGAAGGAGGTTGCCTAAGGTCACGCAGTCAGTGGAACTTCTGTGTTTCTTTGGAGTCTGTCTGGCTCTTGGAAGCCTGCCTTTAGCAAGGTGCCTGAATACCTGGAGGCCCGAGGCCCCCCATCCCTGCTCCGAGGCCTCCGGTGGGGGCAGAGCCTGGCTTTCCCGTTGAGCAGCACCAGGCTCCAGGCGCCCACCGGTGCACTGGCAGCAGGTGCAGTGAGTGGTTCCTGGCTGCCTCCCGTCAGACCCTGGGCTCATCAACATTTATTTCAAAGGGTCTCCGAACACAGCTGGTGCCCAAACACAGCTGGCTTACATCTGTGGGCTCCTGCTGGGGTCAGCTGGGAAGTGATGGGCACCCCAGGCTTCTGGGCTGGCTGTTTATTTTGGATTGTTCAACCCTTGCAGAGGGCTGCAGCCTCAGACCCCGGGGAAGTCCCCTTAACAGACTCTCAGGTCTGCGGCTCCGGCTGGGGGACTGGCTTCAGCTGGAAAGACTTGCCAACATCTGAGCACCTGCTGCAGGGAATGGACAAGAAAGGCTCTCGGAGCCTCAGATCATCAGGCCAACTCCCTCATTTGACAGGTGAGAAAACTGAGCTGCAGAGAAGGATAGATAGGGACCTGTAAGGTCACACGGCACACTGATGGCCGAGGCAGGATTTAAAACATGTCTCCCAGCCTGGGGATGCTGAGCTCAGGTGCTGGCTGGCAGGCTTCCCGGCACTGCTGTCCTGAAAGGCCCCGGATCGGTGGCTGTCTAGTGGCACTCAGTGCTGGCACCTGGGCTGCACATGGTGAGGCACCAGGCCCAGAACCTCCTCCCTCCAGCTCACACCCACAGCTCCAGATGTGGGGCCCTTCAGGCACAAAGTAGAAGCAAGCTGGGTGGGTGGGAGGGGGGCAGAGAATGCAGTTGGTTTCTGAAGATAAGAGCTCCAAAGTGGGGCAGCTGTCACACTGGGTTAATTTCCTGAAGCTGAATGACCTTGGGAACATCACTTACTGCTGGTTTGTCCCTCTGCCACACTGCACTGGGGCCTCGCTTCCCAGCGACACAGAACTCGCCGGCAGCAGCGAAATCCAAGCAGGGTGACTCCTGCCCTGCCCGCCCGCCTGCCAGACACGGCCTTTGTGGCCGTTCCCTGAGCCCAGCACCCTTCCATCTGGATGTGCATTGGGTGGGGTGGGCTCCCAGGCGAGGAAGGCGACACGGGCCTCAGTTCCCCCAGCTGCCCCTCCGTGGTGCAGAGACTTCTAAGTCCCCTCTCCCAGCCAGTCCTCAGTCATGTCCGAGGGTCAGGATCCGTGCAGCCTTCCTATGGGCCTGGGCATTTCAAGCTCATGTCCTAATGGGAAGAAAAAGATTTATTCCCGGAGGAACTGGAGGGGGAGGAGGAGTCATTTAGGACCAGTGCTCCCTAAAGCTCTTTCAAATAAAAATGTCTTCACTCATTCATCAAATATTTGAGTGCCTGCTGCATGTCACACCCCTGTCCTTCAAGGTTCTGAGCGGGTGTCAGATCGGCTGTGGGAACTTGGGCAAGTTACTGAAACTTTCAGGTCCTCACTTGTCTAATCTGCAAAATGGGCACAATCAAACCTACCTCTTTGGGTCATGGGGAGGATTAGGTATCTATGGGAAGCACCCAGCGTAGTAGGTACATTCTCAGTGAATGGTATGCTTGTAAGATCACATGGACAGTGGTCATTTTCTTCACGCCCGGGGAGAAGATTGGGAACTGGGTGGGGAAGAAGGAGACTCGGAAGGTTTGCCCCTAACCAGTGTCAGCAGGAAGCGAGGGCAGGGGAACCAGCTTCCTGGGCTCCATGCGACGTGGCGGATGGAAAGCACGCCTGGCAGGGATGGAGCAGCCCTGCCTACCTGTGAGCAGCGCCGTCCACCTGGCAGCCCATTCACAGGAGGGTGCTGGCGCGTTTCAGGGTCTGGGCCTTTGCTCCTGCTAGCTGTAAAAACTCAGGTACAAACCTTTGACACAAGGTCAACCCCCTTAACAAAAATGGAAGCGGACGTTGTGGTATTGCTAACTGTGGGCGCCGAGGAGTACAGCGGCCTCTAGAACGTCCTCAGCTCGCGGGGCTGCACGGTCCTGCTGCTGATCATGGCCTCTGAGTCCTCCTTTTCCATCTTGTTTTATTGAAATTCTGGGTAAGCTTAGGGGCCTGACTTTAACCCCTCCTCTCCCAGGTGCTTCCTTGATCTCCCTGGTTCGAGAGACCACCTGCTCCTAGGACTTCCCGTGGCATTTTGTTCTCACTGGCTGAGTGTAAGTTACAGTGCTGGCTCTTTGCCAGGGCCCATTCACCGCTGTTCCACCCCCTCTTGGTGTCTCCCTGAAGACAGCGGGGCGAGGCGCTTCCTGAGGACGGAGGGGTGCACCTCCCTGGAACTCACCTGATGCTGTAGAGGACATTCCCGTTCCGGGAGATCCTCAGCAGCTTGTTGTCCGTGGTGATCTCGTGGAAGTGGGCCCCCTTCTCGTTGGCGAAGAACAGGTCGGGCTTCCAGATGGAATCCAACATGGATGGGTCCAGGTCCAGGGAGTCGTCTGGGTACTCATTGTAGGCCAGCCGGGGGTCGTTCCACTGCTGCCGCAGGAAGATGTTGACTCTGTAGTCCTGCGGCCCAGAGGCAAGGAGGCGGTTCAGGGTTAGGCCCTCGTGTGTCCACCCTCGGAGGCCCAGTGCTTGCGGCCAGTGTCCCCCGTAGCCCCTGGGGTTGCAGCTTATGTGGAAGTAAGACATAAAAGCCTATGCAAGCCCTGGCCCGTTTGGCTCAGCGGTTGGAGCATCAGCCTGCGGACCAGGAAGTCCCAGGTTCGGTTCCTGCTAGGGGCACGTACCCTCCCCCCCCCCCAAAAAAAAGTCTGTGCGTATCAGGTAAAAACCACAGGAGTCAGGATAATCCCAGAACATTCTCTAACTGCCCATTGAGTATGTTCAACTCTGATCTGAGATTCTCTAAATGTTATTCTTCCTTTGGAGAAGTTAAACAAGGGCAAAGTTCAGGCTGATGTAATACACTCCCACTTTCATTCTGCTAACACTGTGTTTTAGATGAGAGAGGCAGTACGTTACAGAGCGAGCTGAAGTCCCCCTTTCCCCAACCCCACCAGAGCTCATTCTCACGCACACTCTGTATGAGAGCCCCGGTCTAGACAGACGGAAGGGACGAAAGGAAGGACTGAGAGCTGTTGCCGGGCATTCCCACTGTTTCGCCTAAAGAGAACCATTCCCAAGCAGTGGCGGAAGGGTGCGCAGCAGAATCCTGCGGGTCCGAGGATTCCCACAGCTCTGTTTTAGCACCAGCCTTCCGCACCGTCTGTGTCATGCGTTGGTTGGTTTGGGGAAGATGAACAGATGTGGCAGAGGCCCATCTCACTGGGTTCGAAACTCAGTGGGCAGTGAGACGCTTCTCCGACGGGGCGCGGGGCAGTCAGCACACTGGGAAAAAATGCAGGGCTCAAAGCAATGAAGGGAAGTGTTCGGCTAACCCAAATGCAACACATTTCTTTATTGTAGGGCTTCTCTGAAGTCGATTCAATATGCCAGTGGATTGTGTCTCTCCCCAAGAGGGGCCTAGAATGTGCAGCACTGCCCCGGCTTCTTCTGGCCGTAGGACTCCTATTTAGTGCGCGTGTCTTCTACTGAACATAGGTTAGGAATCACGATCTTAGCCGAAATTCGTCGCCTCTCCTTTTTTCCAGCTGGGGAAACTTAAGAACCTGGATGGCCCAGTGTGACTCTGGAGAGGTGGAGCAGGGCCGATGGCGGGACCCAGGTCCTGACTTCCAGCGAGGGTTGTTCAGCTGGCCCCAGAGGAACTGAAAGAGCCCATTTAGTTCCCGTTCACAACCCGAGAAGCAATCAGTGGTGGGGATAGGTCTCCAGGACGGAAACTGGGTAATGAGATTAAGAAATAGTTGCAAAGAATAGTTTTACATGTCTGTGAACGGGGCATTTATAAACCTGGGTTTGGTGACGATTGTGACACCGCAAGTAGAGTTTAGGGCACATCCATGTTTTTCCAGGAACAGGAGCATAACTTTCTGTTGGATTTCCAAGAGTTTAAAGTTCTCCAAGATGGCCCTGGCCGGTTTGGCTCAGCGGTTAGAGCGTCGGCCTGCGGTCCTGAGAGACCCGGGTTCGGTTCCCGCTAAGGGCGTGTACCTTGGTTGCAGTTTGTCCCCGACCCTGGTTGGTTGTGCGGGTGGCAGCCACTCGATGTGTTCCTTTCACATCGATGTTTCTCTCTCTCTCTCTGTTCCTCTCTCTCCCTCCCACTCTACCTGAACAAAAAATGGAAAAATGTCCTCAGGTGAGGATAAAAAAAAAAATAAAATAAAAAAATAAAGTTCTCCAAGATGAATAATCTCAGTTCAAATCCAACTTTATATTTTTAGTGATTTTAGAGAGGGGGAAGAGGGAGAGAGAGAGAGAAACAACGATCGGTTGCCTCCTGTACTGTACTCACCCCAACCGGAGATCGAACCTGCAACCCAGGTAATATGCCCCGACTGGGAATCAAACTAGCGACCTCTCGGTACACTGGATGATGCTCAGCCAATGGATCCACGCCGGCCAGGGCCACATCCAACTTTAAATGCCCTCCTCCAAGAAATAAGCTCCAGTCATGAGCACCCACTGCTGGTAAATGAGATCACCCTGTATTCCCTTGAGGTGCTGCTTCTGAATGCTAATCACTCTTGATCTGTCATCAGCAGGGGTGAACAAAAACAAACAGCTCCCCACCACCCAGTGGTTTCTCCCACAGAACCGGCCACATCCCCTTTGCCTACAGAAATATCAATAGCTTCATAAAAGTTCCAAGGTATTTTACAGGATTGTTCTATAATTTAATTGCAGCCTCTCCCTGCAGCCCCATAGATAATGACATTCGGTCTCATAATCTCGTGTTTTATAAGTCCCGTGGCGGTGGGAGAACTGCAGGCCAGACCTGGATGTTGACTCTTCGTTTTTCTGTTGACAGCCATAGACAGCTCCTGACTGGGCCCCATCCCGATCGGGGGTTTACAACACAGCTTTCTCCCGTGGATTTTACATGGTGTGTGTGTGTGTGTGTGTGTGTGTGTGAACGAGAGAGAGAGAGAGAGAGAGAGCGAGAGAGAGAGAGAGAGAGAGGCACTGAGCAATTCATGTCAGAGTAAACCAACTATGAATGGTTGGGCAGAAAAAGCCTCCAGCCCCGCAAACCCAGCTGTAGTTTTGATGTTCTTGCCGGTGCCATGTCAAGCCTGTTCATGTGGCTGGGAGGAAGAAAAGAACGTGGCATTTTAAAAAATGGTCTGTTAGTCAGCAGGCGCTGTTCTAGATGCTGTCACATGAATTTAATTGTCACCAAACCCCTGCAGGTTAGACACTCAGATTCCCACGGTAAGGAGAAGGAAACAGGTGTGGAAGGGCTGAGAGGCTCGTCCAAGGCCAGAGCTAGTGAGTGGCAGAGCTGGGCTCTGCATCCGCAGCAGCCTGACCCTCAGTGAGCACTTGTCCCGATGCCCCCTGCGGTGGGCAGTCAGTTCTGTGCGAGGACACTCTCTCATCCTCCCAGCCCAGGTTCATTCTGCCTGCTCAGCTTCAGCCTTACCTCCCCCAGGAGCCTTCGTGCCCCCAGGCTTTCCCCATCGCTTCCTTTTCTGATCTCCCAGCAAAACGGAATCACCAGAAACATTTAATTTAGCACTTCCTTAGTGTGTGTGTCTTCTCTCCTCAGCTTGATTGGCAACGGCTTGAGAGGATGGACTTGAGCTTCTGTTCCTCTGGCACCATCCTACCCTCTCACCCAGTCAGTACACCTAGGATCTACCCAGCCCCAGGAAGAGGAGGAGGAGGAGGAGGAGGAGGAGGAGGGAGGAGGTGAAGGAGACAAAGCCAGACAAAGTTGGAGCAGGAAGAGCTTTCCTCATGTTGTAGCTGGAGAGACTGAGACTCAGAGAGGGAAGGCATTTTCTAAGGTCAAACAGCAGTTCAGTCAAGGATGGGGATTAGAACTGGAATTGCCCTGCTGGGCCTCACTGTTAAAAGAAGGAGTTAGGCTAGATGGGCTCTAAGAACCCTTCCAAAGCTAATAGTTGTTATAAGTTTTTCTTTTTTCAAGAACATTTAACTGAGCATCTAGTAAGTGCCAGGCACTGTACCAGGCGCCGGAGAATATCCTGCGGACAAGAAGAACATACTCATGCAGTCACAGAGCCCACAGTGTAATGTCTACACCACGCTGAGGTGGGGATTAAGTCCAGGGAGCTAGGAAATAGAGGAGACAGCCTCCCCATCTAGACTTGGGGGCGGCGGTCAGGGAAGGCTCCAGGAAGACATGGTATTTAAGGTAAGACCAGATATGGTTGAGGCAAAGAGGAAAAGCATTTAGGGTAGTCGGAACTGCATGAGTGAAGGCCCAGAGACAAAGCCGGTGCGCAGTACTTGGAAAGAATAGCAAGTGCATGAGGAAGGGGACGGGGAGCAGGCAGGGCCTCGCAAGCTGTCCTGAGGACTTCGGACTTCATCCTGGGAGTTATGTGGAGCCCTTGAAGAGTTTTAACTAGGGAAGGACATTATTTACCTTTGCATTTTATCACTGATATTTTATTTTTTAATAGGAAAAGGACTGCATTTATTGATTACATACATCTATTAATCTGGTATATGTGGATACTTTAACATACTACACATCATTTAATACTCACAATATCACTAAAAACTAGCTTAGTATTCGCATTTTATAGTTCTTATTTCCATTTTACAGTGGAAGGCACTCCGGTTCAGGATAATTAAGTAATTTTTGTAAATTCACAAAGGAAATAAGTGTCTGGGTTCTGGTGCAGACGCCTGCTGCTAGACCATGCTGCACTTTATAAATGCATCACGGACATTACCTTCACACTGAGCACGTGTATACAAAACACACTTATCATACTCTTTTATGGACACATGTAGTCTCTAATTTGTTATTACTGATATATTTTTTTCCTATTGCAGAGGTAATGCATGTTGATTATAAAAATACAAACATACATTGCCTGAAAGAAGAAGAAGAAGAAAAAGCGGGGTCCCATTATGGAATGACTAATGAAAGGTGGGAGCGGAGACCCGGAGAAGGTATCTGCGTCCTCAGGCACTTGACTCCTCCGGGCAGGCCTGCCTCTCCCTTTAGCAGCTGCTGCCCAAGCAAGTTGCTGCCATCGACGTCTTGCTAGTTGGTAAACAGCAGTGGGAAATGCAGTTCGGAAGAGATCGATGTAATTGGTGCAATAGCCTGAAAGCTAAATGCTGTTTTGCTCACTGAACCCTGTACTCACAAGGGCCGGTGTTCAACATGGTGGGGGCCGTGTTCAGGTTCATGGGCCCAGGGAGCAACATTTGAATCCTCCACCTGAGAATCTCGGGTTCCACCTCTGGTAACTGATTCCTAGGTCTGAACTCTCAAAGGGGCCCAGCTACGTCTGAGGTGGGAGGGATTTCCAGAGGTCTAGCTCAGTGGTCTTTAGCATTAACTCCCCTTTCTTGCCTCTGAGATTCCCTGATGGTCTGATTTCTGGAAACTGGGCAGTTGCCATGCCTGTAATACCAAGGTGGAACACTCTGTCATTCATTCTGTCATTCAA